ATATACATAAATATAACCACACATACACTCACACACCACACACGCACGCACACGCACGCGCGCAAACTTCCTTTGTTTAAATTTGTAACAAAATTTTTTCTCTGTCGCAACAGATGTTATGGTTTGAATGGAGCATATACTTATAAACACATAGATACAAACAATTTAACAAACAAACAAACATATACAAACAAACAAACATATACAAACAAACAAACATATACAAACAAATAAACATACAAACATACCTAAGAACCCAATTATTATTTTACCAATTTTTTTTAAGTAATGACATTCACAAGAAATTTTACCAGACCCAGTTCCCTCTTCAATTCTCACACTGTGAGATTGGAAACTTTTCATTCTAGCATCAAACATAACGGTTCTAGGGTACGGAATACTGCTTTTTTGCATGAAGTTCAAGTAATTAACTCATTATACCTATTTAAAAACAAGTTAAAAACTTTTTTAGTCAGAAAAAACACTTATTTTAAATAATTCTACACAATTCTACACTAGACTGTACACTAATTTTAATGTTGTTGTGGCTGTATTGTTAACCGTTTGGTATAAGAAATATAACAGTATCATGATATGAATGATTGTATGATGTTTGTTTGTGTGTGCGTTTGTGTGTGTGTGTTTGTGTGTGTGAGCTTGAGTTTATGTGAGTTTATCATCTTCATCATCATTACCACCCTCATCACCTTCATCATCATCATTACCATCATCGTCCTCACCTTTCTTATATTATGTTTCCGCTGTGTAATCAATCTTCCCGCTCTTTCATCAATGTCATCATCATCATCTTCATCATCATCACAATCATCATCATCGTCACCATCATAGCAATCATCATCGTCACCATCATAGCAATCATCATCGTCACCATCATAGCAATCATCATCGTCACCATCATAGCAATCATCATCGTCACCATCATAGCAATCATCATCGTCACCATCATAGCAATCATCATCGTCACCATCATAGCAATCATCATCGTCACCATCATAGCAATCATCGTTATCATCATCGTCGTCATCATCATAGCAATCTTCATCACCATC